AGCCCGATGTGGGACTCGATCCCAGGACCCTGGGATCATGACCTGAGCCGAAGGCAGACGCTTAACGACTGAGCCACCCAGGCACCCCACTCTTTTCTTTATTTTTAAAGAAAGAAAATGTTAAAGACACAACCAAAGCTGCCCCCTTCCTTCCCCACAGGCAGCTGGTCCCCAGACAGACCACACCCTGTCCCTCCCCGCCCCCCCCACCATGTCCCCAAACACATTTCCATCACAGCACCCGTCATGCTGTAAAAATGACTTCTTGGCGTGTCCCTGGCCTCCCTTAAAGATAACCCCGTGTCATATCCCCCTCCGTGTATCTGTCATGGCACGGGGCCTGCCATCTAGTGGGCCCTAAAGACATTTTTGCTGACCAGACAGGTGCCTGGCCCAAGCATCATAGGCCCTGAGGAAATAATCGTTGAAGGAATAACTGAGTATTCTGGAAATACTTCCTGAGCTACCGCGATGGGGTGGCCTGGTGTCACACCATCTCCTGGTTGTGTAGTGAGGTGCTTTCTGGTTCCAAGTGCGCCATTTCTGAGGGGCACCTGTCGTCCCGATAGCCTGGGGGCTGTGAAAACCCAGTCCTGCCTGCTGGGACATACGGGACCAGCTGTTTGCTTGTCCAGAAAGCTTCAGCAGCTTGTAGTTTCATGATTCTTCAAATCATGGATCAGGACTATGCGAAACACAAAAGTCTATCACTCTAAGCAGCGAGGTGCTGACTGGAGGAGTTGCAAAGCTGTTGACATCTGTAAAGTAGTGTGGACACACCACGAATTAGAAAAAGTGGCCGAGTCATCACATCCCCCTTCCCCCGGGGGCTGTGGGCAAGGCTTCGCCCACACGGTTTTGCACAGAAGAAAACCCATCTGGTTTGTGTGGCCTTCGAAGAACCTCACCCCTGGAAAATGCCTTTTTCGGTCAAGCCTCCAGAAAACCTCCTGTGCCTTGATAGAACTGTTTCTTCTTGGTCTGTTAAAGTTCAAGTCATTTTTAAAAAAGATTTTATTTGGGAAAGAGAGCACAAGCAGGGGGAGGGGGAGAGGGAGAGGGAGAAGCAGGCTCCCCACTGAGCAGGGAGCCCGATGCAGGGCTGGATCCCAGGACCCTGGGATCATGACCTGAGCCGAATGCAGACGCTTCACTGACTGAGCCACCCATGTGCCCCTAAGTCGTTATTTTAATCAGTAGTGAACACCTGTGCTGGTGTTGGGGGATCAGCTAAGCTCTAGGTGGCACCTGCCCACACAGCACTCCGGAACTGGGGAAGGGTCGTTGGACCATGAACAGTGGAGGTAGCAGGCAAAGGATCTGGCCTGACCTGCCTGGGGTGTGCAGGAGCTTCCTCAATGATCTCCTGCCTGTGCTCTGGTCCCTTCCAGTCCTTTCTTCATGGGGCAGCCATGGTGATCTTTGCAGATCGTCAGTCTGGTGGTCACTCGTTGCTAGCACCTGTGTCCATCATGGACCGTTAAGAGGCAGATGCCCCGATTAGGTTTTAACTGAGGGTGAATGAACAGGCCACTCACAGGCGGGCCTAGGTTAAGGGAACCCGTACAGGAGAGTGAGGCGTCCGGGGCCAGCAGCAGCAGGGAGCCATTACCCACCCCTTTTGGCTTGATGAGGTTGGAAAGGATGAAAGAAGTTTCTGGAAGCTAGAGCTATGGCTCTGGGAGAGGGGCCACCAGACAGGAACTATGGCTCTGAGTTGAAGGATGAAGGACAGCAGCCACTGCCACCAGCCCAGCCCAGCAAGAAAGCCGCAAAGAGAAAGCCATCTGCCAACCTCCCTCTCCTGTCCCCTCCTGTCGCCTGCTGCTGCTTCCTGTTGGCAGAATGCACTAGAAGCCGGAGGGCGTGGGAAGCCAGGTGAAGGTGACCGCCCGCAAAAACCCACCTTCCAGGGCACTGAGCAGGGCAGAGAATGGCAGAGACCAGATCTGGGGGTGCAGAGAGTGAATAGTGAGTCCAGGTGTTTAAAGGATCGCTTGCTCTCACGATCAGGATGGAAAGTGCCAACACACCGTCAGGGCCCTGCGAGGCCTGGCTCCCATCCCGCTCCTCGCTTCTGTACTCCGACCACCCCAGCCTCGTCTTTCCCCATCAGGGCTTGCACGTGCTGTACCCACTGTGTGCAGGGCCCTCCCCTCAGCTCTTCTCTGGCTCCCACTCAGCCTCAGATCCCAGCATAATTATCACTTCCTCAGAGAGGCCCTCCTGGATTCCTCCTGTCTAGATCCGGTCCTTCTGTTCTGTCTGTAGCCCATTCGCTTTCTTTGTTTTTATAATTTAATTTGTAAGTGTGTGTGTCTGATACGCGTCTTCTCCTGGATTAAAAGCTCTGGGGGTCAGGGACTACTGTACCCCCAATGCCCAAGAGAGGGCGTCCCAGATATGCTTGTCACACAGAGGCAGGAGTGCTACACTGTCCCCTTTGTCATGTGGGGGGGCGGGTGGGGGGCTGGGAGTCCTAACCTGAACAAGCTTTATACCATGTTTGGGTTTCATGGCATATGTTTTAGTCAGGAATCTCATTACTTAAAAATTACAGTCAGGAGGGAAGCATTAGGAAATCTCTCCTAACGCCATGCTCACAAGGTGACATCTTTGTGGAGGATGAATACAGTGCTCTTCAAGAAACTCTTAGCAAGTCAGCTTCTCACTCAAATACGACTCATACTGGTTTGAATCATCATCACAGAAACGGCATAGCTCCTGGAGTCTCCACCACCCATTTAAACGTCTTCGGGCGAGAGTCACGTTCCCCTGCCCCTGGGTGAGGACTCTGGAAGGGGCCGTAGCCTCTCTGCCTGACTTTAGAAATCGGCTGCCCTACAGTCACTGAGTCTCAACTCGATCGGTCAGTGGAAGGACATATCCGAGATATTCATCCAATCTTCAGATTTGACTTACCAGCGAATCTTCTCCCACCTCCCAGCTGAGGGCTGCTTTCCGCTGGAGGCCTCAGTGGTTGGGGAGCCTGCTTACCTCTCTTCTGTTCTCCACGTTGCACTTCTCCTGCAGCTAACTGCTGATTTCCGACCTGTCCAGGGTTAGAGCCCCAGGAGGAAATGGGAGGCAGGCAAGTGTCACTGGACTGGGAACACAACTGACCGCATGCTCCCTGGGCTCTGGGGGCGGGTCTCCCAGCCCACCCTCCTGATCTCCTGGGCAGGGGACCAACTGACCCCAGGCTCCTCCCGGCTGTCGGTCACCTCGGGGGCACCTGCTGCTGGCGAGGGTGGGTGCAGACATGATGGGGCTCACCACCAGCTTTCTCCAAAGGTGTTCCTCCCCATAGGCACCTCTCTCTCTCTGGTTTGCGTAAGGGGTGAATGGGCTCACTGGTTTGGCAGATCATTTCCTTTTTACTTTCTCACTCAGTGGCTATTTGTTTCTGTCACAGCGGCACCTCAGTCATAACTGCAGTAAGAAGGGTCTCTTCTAACTTCTCGTTACAATGAATTTTCAGAATAAGCTATGTAGAGATGATTTACGTGGTATGTTAAGTAATGTTACACAGATGTGTGAAAGAAGCAAATCACAGGGTCCTGGGATCGAGTCCCACATTGGGCTCCCTGCCCGGCGGGAAGTCTGCTTCTCCCTCTGCCCCTCCCCCTGCTTGTGTGCTCGCTCTAGCTCTCTCTCAAATAAATAAAATCTTTAAAAAAAAAAATCACATAAATGTCCCACATCAGTTAGGTGTTCCCACAGTAACGCTGCTTAACAAACCACCCCAAAATCCAGTGGCTCACAGGCATTAGCATTTTCTCTCTGGCCCACACGTGTGCAGGTCGGCTGAGGTCTGGCTGGCCTTGGCTCCGGGTCTGCTCCGGGTGTCCCTCCTCCTTCTGGGGCCCCCAGGGCATGTCCATCTCATGGAGATGGCAGGAGCACAGGAGGCAAGCCCGCCTCCCCACCCACCGCATTTCGTGCCTTGCTTGAAAGCCATTGGCCAAATCAAACTACATGACCAGGCCCAGGATTGGTGGGGTGGGCATGTACCCCTCCTCGAAGGTGGAGAGGGAGGAGTGAATTTTTGCCGAACTGTCATCTACTAAATAGTTTATACGTATGTAAAGTGAGAGTAACTCAAATGGAACAATGCTAGGAAAGTTATTCTTGGAACGTCAATGGACGGTCTAACATCTGCTGTCCAGGAAGTAAACGTGCATGCATGTGCCCTAAGACTGTCTCGTTTCCAGTCTAGTTGGCCAGCAACTTACTAGATAGATGCAGATTTCCATTCTTAAAAACCACACTCCAATTTCTGATCGCATAGTTTCTTTCTAAAGGGAGTCTTAAGTGCTCTTCTTTCTACCGTCTGTTTCTCCCTCCTCAGTATGGCTGTGACCCGATCCAAAGATGCTCCTCCCTTTGGTCCCCCGGTCCCCAGTGGAACCACGTTCCGCAAGTCTGATGTCTTCAGAGACTTCTTGCTGGCCAAGGTGATTAATGCCGAGAACGCCGCGCACAAGTCAGACAAATTCCACACCATGGCCACCAGGACCCGCCAGGAGTACCTCAAGGACCTGGCTGAAAACTGTGTCTCTAACACACCCATTGACTCCACTGGCAAGTTCAACCTCATCTCCCTGACCTCCAAGAAGAAAGAGAAGACAAAAGCGCGGGCAGGCGCCGAGCAGCATAGCGCAGGGGCCATCGCCTGGAGGGTGGCGGCTCAGGACTATGCCCAGGGCGTGGAAATCGACTGCATCTTGGGGATTTCCAACGAGTTTGTGGTGCTCTTGGACCTACGCACCAAGGAGGTGGTGTTCAACTGCTACTGCGGGGATGTCATTGGCTGGACCCCAGACTCCTCGACGCTCAAAATCTTCTACGGGCGAGGGGACCACATCTTCCTGCAGGCCACAGAGGGCTCTGTGGAGGACATAAGGGAGATTGTCCAGAGACTGAAGGTAAGGGAAAGAGCTCCTCAATGGTGCAGCTCTTCTGTGGTTTGGCTGAGGCCTCAGGGAACCTCCCCCTCCCCGGGCCCGGCCCCGTCAGTCAGGCCAGAATACTAATTGGCCACAAGGGAGTCAGAATTGCCACTTACACACTAGGGGGTCTCGTGGGCCCTGCAGCCTGGGTTCTTTCTGGGGACAGTTCGGGCCAGGGATTCAAGGCTGTCCATGAGGATCACCTTGGGGAGACAAAAGATAGATTTATTTGCTCTGGGTCTTGATAGAAAATATAAGTTTATGCTTATGTTCGAAATGTAAGGGTACTTCCTGGAAGAATTAAAATAGAATGAAAAGCTTCCAGGCCATTAAAGGATAGGGCATAAACGGGGTGGGGCGGGGGGGGGCGCGTTACAAGAAAGCATGGTGAAAGAAACGGACAGTTACATAACAGGAGTAATTCCAGATCCGTAATCATAATAAATGCAAATGGTTTAACTTTCTCTATCAAAAAACAAAGATTCAGTCTGGGTAAATTCTTACCGTAAGCTCCTGATAGGCAGCTCAGGTTCAGATTGTTGGCCAAACCAAGAGTGACAGATTGGTTGCAGGTGACAGCTTGGTAGGTGGTGGCCTGAAACGTGGTACTGAGAAGTACTCAGGGCACGTGTGAGCCTCGTGGGAAGGAATGGTGTTGTTGGCAATGGGCTCCCAGTGGGTTTCACAGAAGGCCACATCATGTGTGTCAAATAGGGAAGGGAGCCTGACATGGACACGGGTTCTAGAGTCACAAGGCCTGGCTTTGGGTCTTGGCACTGCCACTGGCCATCTGTGTGACCTTGAGCCAAGTCCATAACTGCCGTATGAGTGTCGTTTTTCAGATGTCCCCATCTGAAAAATGGGAACAAAAATTACCCTACGTCATGTGAAAGTTTTAAGGATTGGATGAGTTACGTTTCCCAGACAAGCTTGCCTGACTCAGCGGGCTGTGACCTCCGGATGCCAGCATGTTCACCCTTCTGGGCCTTTGCGTGCTCTCATTAAGTTCAAGTTGGGTTGATGGAGCCCTGCTCTCGGCTTCCCTGACCCCAAATTTCATGCTCGGTGTTAGACAGCAACATGGATGTGAGGTCCGAGAACCAGGGCCTCCATCTGTTTTTGTTCACTTGCTTATGTCCTCTGCATAAAACAAGGCTGGCACATAGTAGGTGCCCAGTAAATACTGATTAGGTGGTTAGTTGAATGAGTTTAATTGAACCCTGCGTGTGTGCGGATAAGGAGCGTGCATGCACAAGCTCGCGGTCGTCAGCCCCACGGAGCGAAGGTACTGTTCTTATCCCCACTTGACAGGATGAGCAGACTGAGGCTCAGAGACGTACAGCCTCTCACAGAAGGTCATGCAGCCAGCAGGGGGCAGACTGGGATCTGAATCCAGGTTTTCCTGACTCTGAAACCCATTTGTGCCCAAACTCGAGACTGGTAGCTAACTGCTAGCTTGGCATCTCCACCCGGGTGTCTCGGAACCCCTGAAACTCTGTCAGAGAGCAGACTCCTGGTTTTCCTCCCCTGCCCCACAGCGTTTTCCTGTCTTCGGAAAGGTCAATTCCATCGCTCCGTTTGTTGAGGTCGGAAGCCTTGGCATCAGCCCCACTGTTCTCCTCTCACTCCCACACCTCATCTGGCGGCGCCACCTCCAGCGGGCAGACTCCAGCTACCCCTCCCCTTCCATAGCCTCCCCCGGCCTCTCCTGGACTCTGCAGTCACCTTCTCGCTGGTCTCCCTTACCTCCACCCTTGCTTCCTTATGGTCTGTCCTGAGTAAGGCAGCCCGAGGGATCTGATCCCATCACTGCTCTGCCCCAAACTCTCTGCCCTCTCTAGGTGGAAGCCAGAGTCCTTGCAGTGGCTTCGGAGACCCTGTGTGACTGGCTCCCAGTTGCTCTCTCCACTCTGGGTACACAGACCTTTGCTGCTTCCTGCCTTCCAGGCAGGCATCCAACCTCAGGGCCTTTGCACTGCCCGTGCCCTCTCGCTGGAGCACTTTTCCTGATCCTCCTGTGGCTCACTTCCTCCTCTCCTTTAGTCACATGTCACCTTGTCAGGGAGGCATCATTATGTAAAATTGCAATCCCCCCAACTTGGCCCTGAGCATATTCCACCCACTTACCCTGCTTTAATTTTCTCCATAGCACTTACACCATATGAAGCGTATTTATGTATTTGTTGTTCGCCACTGTGTCCTCAGCACTGAGGTTGGAATGCAGCACACACTCGGCGAACTTGTACTGCATGCCTGGCTACATACTTCCCTGTAGTAATAGCAAAAGCAAACATCTACAGGACGCTGTCAGACCCTGCCCAGCACCTTGCACGACTTTGCATTTTTTTCTTCCCCAAAGCCCAGTGGAAGAGATGCCCTTCTCATCCCCACTTCACAGATGAGGAATCTGGGACCCAGAGAGTTAAGTGCCTGGGTTCTTAAACATAAGAGTATTCTTCCTCCCAAAATCCTGACAACAGCTCGCTTTTCTTGAGCAGTGACCATGCCGGGCAACGTGCCAGGTGACATGTTTTACCCACATCCTCTCTGTGCCGCTCCGTCCCACGCCCACCCCCGACCCTACTGTCAGCACAGCATTTTACAGCCCGTCAGCACAGCTCCCCTCACAGTCTCCATGCCCCAGAGCCCACTGAGGATCCAGGTGGCCAGGAAGTGATGATGTAAGCCATCTTCTGTGAAGGGACAAACCCATCATACACAACTCATGACAGCAAGTCTGCTTCGCCGAGTCCTCCAGGGCAAGGCATCCACACCGTCCCCAGCAGAGCTAGGATTCAAACATCCTTCATTTGTTAAGTCAGCAAGTATTAGTACATGCCTCTGTCTGAGCTGGGCAGTGCTGGGACACAGCAGTGACCATGATGGGCCCCGGCCACCCTCTTGGGGCTCCCGTCAGAGGCAGAAATTGAACAAGGAGTTACAAGTGCCAAGAGGTTAAAGAGGGAGTATTGAGGATGCCAGGGGAACCTATCGTGGGGAGAGGTCTCAGAGCCACAGGTCGGATGCAGCCCCCAGACCTAGTCAGTTACTTACTAAAGCTCGACCTTTGGAAGATTTCACGTGAGGGTAGCTCTCCGGGGGTTCTGGCTATACTGGGCATATGTTTGCACAGGGCGGTGGGCAGCTGAAGCAAGGCATTTGGTACCCGAATGCCCCCTTTCAGTGCAGGCACAAGTGTACTATTTGGCCACGGTCCCACCCGCCTACTTCTCACTTACAGTACCCACCAAGTACCCCAGCTTGTGAGCCCGGGCTGGGGGGGGGTCCCTGAGGAAACAACTTTTAAACTGAGATGAGAGCAAAAAGTCGGAATCATCATGGTGCAGAATGAGGGGGAAAGAAACAAGGGGGGCAGCGGGGAATGTGGCATGGAGGCTAGAAGCAAGAGTTAAAAAGTCAGGTCGGTACAGGTCTTAATGTCTGTAAAATAAGCAAATCAGTTGTACCTGCCTCACCAGTGAGATATTGGTGAAATTAGCCCTGTGAAGGGTTTAGTGCACTGAGAGGGAAACTTGACAGAAACGTCCCATGTGTCCATGCCCGTGACCAACGAGGCCACACCAGCCCTGGGAGTGGGGGGGCGTGGGGAGGGCTCGACCGTCCCCGGAGGCCACAGCCGGCCTGCTGACTACTGTCCATCCTCCATTCCTCCCCTCCTGCTCTTGGTAGTAAGACCTCCCACAGCACAACAGACGTGGATGTTTTCATTACATCTATTGAGATGATCATATGATTCACATCTTTTCTTTTATTGATGCAATGCATCACATTATTTGATTTGCAAATATTGAAACACCCTTGCAACCCAGGATCAAATCCCACTTGAACTTGGTGAATGCGGACATATGGGACATTTCTCTGTCACCCACAGCCAGATTCTTCGGACACAAGGGCGACCGCTTCAAGGGGGGAGAATTTGGACTCCCAAAGCAGAAGTAATGGGCTAGAATGGAGCCAGTCACAAGTTTCTCTCTCAGTACACTAAACACTAGGCTTTCCTTTCCAACCAGTTGAAACTTTTTAATTGTGGACAATGTCAGACCGCCACAAAAGTAGAAGGACTCCCATCTAGCGAACTCCCAGGCTTTCACTGGTTCCCTCAGCTGTCAGCCAGCCCATGGCCCGTCTTACTTCTTCCTTCCCTCCCCTCCCTTTCCCGCAATTATTTTGAAACAAATCTGGGACATCCTATGGTTTCATCTGTACACATTTCAGTATTTATCGCAAAAACACAGACCATTCAGAAAGCAACTGTTTTGTCATTATCATACACCGAGCAGTCATAGTAATCCTTTATCATCACATGAACAAGTTGGGCTGTGAAAGCAGCTGCTGGGTCCCGATCCAGAATTCTGGAGGACAGGATAGGAAAGGATCCAGAGTGTCACAGCGCATGCCAGTGAGTAAGGATAAGTACTGTTCTGTGGAGTGGTGCCGGCTCCCATGTGTGCCGCCCACTGTGCAGACGTCCAGACTCTCACCGTCTAGCTCAGATGTGGTTACATCCTCAGGTGAGTGCTTCCGCATCCATGCTCTCATTTCCGGCTGCCTACACCCAGCAGTGTGCTTGGTTTGGGCTCCAAGGAATGTGTGTGTAAACGGACGCGTGAATGCGTAGAGTGGTTTGTGACCTAAAATTTCCTCACGGGGCGTAGTGATGAGAGAAGGGCGAAAGCCCCTGCTGTGATGGGTACGTCGGGCAGCGGCGTCTCTAGCCATGGGATGGCTTCCCACCAGCAATTTCAACTATTGCACATTCTCTTTCCTTAAAGCAGTTTCCGGAGAGCGCAGACCAGACCAATCTCGATGTAACTTGTTCAGTAGCCATGGCTGTGGCTCGTTACGTTAAGCCTTGTCTCCCAAGAAGAGGAGGGAATTCCTAAGGACACGCTGAGGGACCGGGGTTCTCTTCGGTGGGTCCTCTTATCCATAGTAACATGTGATCGTGGCGACAGTCACACACAGATGAAGCAGGGAGTGAATCGGAAGCAAGGCCTGGTGTGGTCTGGTCAGCTCCAGGCTGGAGGACGGTCTGAGGAGGAGACTGGGGAGGGGCTTGTGCCTCTAAGAATGATGCCATTAAGTAAAGAATAGGGCGCGAGCCCCCAGCCAGAGAAGATCCCAGGATCTCTGGTCTGCTGCTTCTCCGGCCTACTTTGGTTAGAGTCATTGGATCAGGATAAAATATTAGTGGCTTAAAACAACAAAGATGTATCTGTTGCTCACACTCCATGTCCAAGCTTAGGTTCAGCAGGGGTCTCTGCTTCACATTGTTCTCACTCTGGGACCCCAGCTGACCACAAACAGCCACTCTCTGGAACAGTCGCAGTAGCTGTGGCAGAGGGGAAAGGCCTACGGAGGGTCTCGCCCTGGCAATTAAATGCCCCACCCTGGATGACATGATAGTTCCACTCACAACTCATTCACCAAAACAAGTCCCAGAGCCCACCCCCCACTAGGGGGCCAAGAAGTATAATCCCACTATCTGGGGAAGGGGAAGGCCAGGGGCATTTGGAAAACATGGCTCATGACTGCCACCCCGGTCTCTCCCGGCTAAGAAGCCACATGGTTGCATATCCTTGTTTCTTCAGAAGTCAAGAGCCCAGGCTGGGACTGGGTGGGTGTTTACACCTATATCCTGGCATCACGTGGGAAGGATGGGGGTCAGCAGGGTTTTTGGCCCCGAAGTGGGGGGGAAATCTGTGCAGGGGTCATCCAGAGCTTGCCTGTTGCCTACAGGTCATGACCAATGGCTGGGAGACGGTGGACATGACCCTGCGGCGGAACGGGCTCGGGCAGCTGGGCTTCCACGTGAAGTACGACGGGACGGTGGCTGAGGTGGAGGACTATGGGTTTGCCTGGCAAGCCGGCCTCCGGCAAGGCAGCCGACTGGTGGAGATCTGCAAGGTAGCCGTGGTCACACTGACCCACGATCAGATGATAGACCTTCTGCGCACCTCTGTCACCGTCAAGGTGGTCATCATCCCGCCTTTCGACGACGGCACGCCCCGGAGGTAAGGGTATCTGCCCTGCAGGGTGGGATCCAGGTGAGGGGGTGGTAGCTTCCAGAGCGCTGTCACCCAAGACCCTTTCTCAGCAGGAAGAATGGTGACGGGGGAGAGTCGACATCTGTCAAACACCTACCGTGTGCCACTTACGGTTGAAGCTTTCCAAATGAGCACTGTCCCATTTCATGTCCAAAATAGTCCCATGAGGTGGGCACCCTCATCAGTCCCATTTTCTAGATGATGCACACAGCATTAAAAGTAACTTGGCCCGAGGACAAACTGCACTTGATCCATTTCTTCAGCACGTATTTATTGCACCTCCAGCAAGGTGCAAGCTCCATTCGAAGTGCTGGGGAGACAGCAGGGACGAAATGGAGTGAGTGCCTTGCTCCCTTGGAGTTTGTGTTCTAGAGGCAGGGACAGGCAGTAATGAGGTTTAAGAAGAAAATAAAGCAGGCTGGATAAAGGGCCTGCAGCGTGGTAGGAGAGCTGCTCACAGGTCAGGAAGGGCTACTGGGCTGAGGCAGCCATGTGATCTTGTCCAGGCCAGGGCGTCCCCGCCAGCCTGCAGAGCCTCCGAAGTGTGAGTGTGGCACATCCATCCGTGCAGCAGAGACCAGTGTGGCTGGAGCAGGGGTGAGAGGTGGGGCAGCCTTTCGGGGGAGCTTTCGGACACAGTGGCAGACTTGGGTTTTACTCCATACACAGTGGGAAGACAGTGTCTTGGTTTTGGGTTTTTTTTGTTTTGTTTTGTTTTAAGGTTTTATTTATTTATTTGACAGACACAGCGAGAGAGGGAACACAAGCAGGGGGAGTGGGAGAGGGAGAAGCAGGCTTCCCGCTGCGCAGGGAGTCGGATGCGGGGCTCGATCCCAGGACTCTGGGATCGTGACCTGAGCCGAAGGCAGACGCTTAACGACTGAGCCACCCAGGCGCCCCTATCTTGTTTTTTTAACGGAACATTTCAAGCATATCAAAAGTGTACCAAGCCCTGTTTCAACACACAGCCAATTTTTTGTTTTGTTTTTTTCAAGTTCTGTACTTCCCTCCCTCCCTTGGATTATTTGAAGCAGCCCCAGTGATTAGAATATATCTCTACCCAGTAAGAACCTCTAAAAAATTATGGTTATACTGAAAAATTTTACCAGTAAGTATCAACTACCCATCTGTGTTTACCTTTCTATTGTATCAGAGAGATCTTTGTTAAAAAGAATTGTTTTGTTAATCAGGCTCCTCCTGTTGTATTTGGTTGATGGGTCTCTTCAGGCTCTTTTAATCTATAAGCTTCCTCTCCCACTTTTTTTCGCCCCTTGGAATTTATTTTGGGAAGAAACCCAGGTCACTCATCCTTTGGAGTTTCCCACTTCCTGCATTTAGCTGCTTGCATCCCCCTGGTGTCCTTTACCCTGTTCCTCTAGCACATGAATTTCCTATAGACTGGAGTTTGATGTAGAAGCTTGATCCAGTTCTGGTTAAATTTCTCCTGGTAACAACACTTCCCAGGTGTGTGTGTCACGAGGCACCACATGTCTGGTTGCCCTCCATGAGTGACCCTAAGGGCAGAGGGTTCAGATGGTGGCACTTGACCCATCATCATACACTGTCCCTCTCAACAGCCATGTGTCATTATTGCCTTGATCAGTTATTTCATCATGGGTCACAGAGTAGCGAGTACTGTTCTCAATTCCATCATTCCTTCTTCATTTATTGGCTGAAATCCTTCTAAAAAGAACGTTCCTTCAGTAACTATTTGGTTACTCTGGGGTAGAATTTACTAGATGGGGATGGCAGGGTAAATGCAGTTTTTGGAATGGTGAGTTGGTGCCCTAGCGACCTCCAGAGGTGGCCAAAGACAGAGAGAATCACTACATCCCAAGTGCTGGACACAAAGCTGCACAGAGGAGTCAGGCCTTGGCCCTCATGGAACTATTGAATGGATCAGGGGAGGCAAACGGTGAACAAGGGAATGGTGATTTCACATAGCAAAAGGGGGAGGCAGTTGAGCATCGTGAGAAGGCGGGCTTTGCAGTTAGATCACCTAGGTTTGACTCTTAGTTGTTCCTCATAGTAAACCGTGGCCCTGGGCCAGTGGCCTCGTACCCTGTGCCTCAGTTTCTTCATTTGTAAAATGAGGACGGTAATAGATCCTTTCCCCAAAGATGGTGGTGAGGTTGGAGAAAAGCTTTGTAAATAAAGCAGTTAGAACAGCACTTGGCCTATAGGGGGCGCTCTAGAGACACCAGCTGTGAGATACTGGGTGTGGGGAAAGAGTGCAGCCTGACTTTGAACAGGGACATCAGGGAAGGCCTGAAGGTGAGAAGGAGCCAGAAGAAGGGTCTTGCAGGGAGGGAGTGGCATTACGAAAGTGAGGACAAAGGGCCTCGGCTTGTTGCCAGACCGCCCAGAGGGTCTGTAGCAGGGTGAGCCAAGGGGAAGGCTGACATAGGTGACACGTGATCTCACAGGGCTGGTGTGACCCTCACTTTACAGGTGAAAAACTGAGGCCCCAAGGGGACCCATCCGTTGTGCAGTGTTGTACAGCTACTAAGTGGCAGACAAACCTCAGTCCAGGTTTCCTAGCTGCGCAGTGCTCGGGGGCCTGGGAAAGCCAGCGAGAGCTGTGCGCATGCCCAGCTGTGCTTGCTCCACCCGCCCCTTCCTGCTTGCTCAGAACTTGGCCGGGGGCAGTTCTGGGCGCGCCTAAACCCTGCAACCAAGGGTTTGGCCTTCCCTCACCCACCTCCCCAGTCTCCCCTTGGGACTCCAGTCAAGCCCCAGGCGTCCCCTTCTCTCAGCCCTCTTATGGCGCCACGGCCCAACCACGCCCGCTCCGGGCTCTGCAGGGACAAGTCAAGCCCAAGTAACTCCACAGGCCAGCTCCCCAGCAGACCCCCCTCTGCCTCACTCTGCACACACCCTCACACCCACGCACGTGCACACAATAAGCCAGGCCGCCTGTCGGACGACTCTCTGCACTGGAGGCCACAAAGACGTCCCTGGACCGGCAGGTAGGGGCCAGCGGAAACAAAAGTAAAAGTCTGCAGGCTCCCTTCTCCAGCTTTGTGGAGGCTTTGGGGAGACCAGGCCAGGGAGGGTGTGACCAGACAGACGAGCCCTGTTGCCTGCCCTCATTAGGAGAAAAGCTCTCATCCTACCCCTTTGGCAAGGCAGCCACTGAAACAGGATCTCCTGTTTGCAGGGGCAGGTGTGGGTTGGGACTTGAATGGTTTTTGTTGTTCTTCAAATGCAGAGGGGTCTGGCCGACCTCATTTGCAGAGCTGCTCGCCCCAGCTCTGGGGTCTCTCCCAGCCTGTTGCTGCAGCCCTGGCCTCCTGGCTCAAATGTCGAAATAAACCGTGAGTGGAGACACATGGGGATGGGCAGAGATGCTCTCCCTGCCACCAGCCAGGCTCTGCATGGTGTGCATCTAGACCCCCACACTCTTCAGACACTGAACAGTAGAGTGGATCATCCGCACACTCCCAGGCCATCAGACGGGGGTTCTCGAGTGAGCGCTGCACCGCTGGCCACAGCTGAGCTGGGCCAGGTAGCCGGGAGAACGTCCCACAGCCTGATGAGATGGTCATCGTGACATTGGCCGCTTGCACAGGCTCAGGAGGAATTCTCTCATCTCCCTTTCTCTGTCGCTTCCTGATGGGGAAGGCCATCTGGGATGCTTTTTTCCCCTTCAGTTGAACTCAGGAGCTCTGGTCAAGGGGGTTGTAAACTCCTCCCTGAGAAGGGAAATTGAAACCCCACAAGTGAGTGAGCACGAGGGGTAAGAAAGGAGTCCCCATGGCCCCCAGAAACTTGGCTGTTGGGAATTGAGGACAAGGAGGCAGTGAGGAAAAGAGGTCTGTGAGCCCGGGGGTGTCCTCTCTCAGATGTCTCCCACACCCGGCTGAGGCTGGAGCACGCTGTCTACTGCAGCATTGTTGGTTGAGACTAGAAGCAACCTAAATATCCAACCGCATTGGTATTTAGGCCCGACTGGCTGACTAAAGCCCAGGTCATCCGTGTGATGGAATAGTATTTGATTGTTTAAAGGAAATAAAGTGAATTTGTTTGTACCGAGAGGGCCTGGTAAGAAACATCGTTAGTTGGGGGGCCAGGAGGGGGAAGCAAGATGGTATTTGGAGCTAAGTGTGCTGGCTTTTTTTTTTCTGTTTTAAATAATATTTGCATAGAAATACTTGCATAGGATACTTTTGAAAGAATGTATCAGAAACTGGAAGCTGTGGTGGCTTCTGGTAGGCAAACTCTGGGGACAGGGATGCCAGTTTTGTCCCACTTTCTCAAACTCTTGTCTTGTGTCGAAATCATCTCCAGCAGCTTGGTAAAATGCAGATTCCCGGGCCCCCAGCTCAAGGCGGACTCTGATTCCAGTGGGCTGAGTTGAGACCCAGGTATCTGCGTTCCTCTGCTGAGCTCTCGGGGTGGTGTGGGTGCTGCTGATTCTCAGACCGATGGGGAAGGATCTGTTCCAGAGCCCCCAGTGGGGTGTGGTTGGACTTCAGAAGGTAGAAGGGAGACTCGGCCTCTGAGCACATGGAAACAGCAGGCAGATTGGCCACAGAATCAGCTGGAAAAGGCAACAGTACCAAGGCCCCATTTGTTAAGCACTTGGCAGGCACCAGACTTTCTCCTAGTGCTCTAGAACGCCTGCAGCCACTGTCTTATAAATGAGGAAACAGGTTCTGGAAGGAAATCCTTCGCCCAGGGCCATGCAGGCTGGGGTCCGAACTGGCCATCTGGCCCAGAAGCCCCAGCTCTCTACTACCCTGTGCTGCCTTCAAGATGGCTGGATAATGTTTCCCTCTTGGAGATCATGCCCAGGGCTCCTGGCCAAAGGCCACGCTGTCAGTAATGGGAGAGAAGACTGGGACTCGAGAAATCTCACTGGCTCCCAAACCACTCTTCAGGGGCCCGTGTGCATGGTGGTTAAAGTTGTGGCCTTTGGAGTCAACTTACCGAATTTAAATCCAATTTCCGCCTCTTACTGTGTGACCTTGGACAGGTTACTTCTCTGTGCCTGTTTACTTCTCTCGAAAGTGCGGTTGTACTGATCGGGATTCTGGTTCCCAACAACAGAACCAGCTCAAGCCTGGTGAAGCAAAATTCAGACTTTCCTGGCTTCTGTACCTGACAAACTAGGAGACAGAGCAAGATTTAGACGTGGCCAGATGCAGGGACCTAGACGCCCTCACCAGGAATCTTTATCACCTGCCTCCTTTTCTGCCTTGCTGTCATTCTCGTGGGACAAATGTGACCCACCCTTCTTCACAGTTTCAGCTTAGGACTCCCCAGCACAGCAGCCCCAGTGAACCAGATCTTTCCCCCATTAGTTCCAGAAACAGTTCCAGAGTTGACGCTGTCTCTGCTTGGCCGCACATGGGGCACATGACAATCCTGTGCCGATCATGGTGTCTGGGGGAGGGGGGAGGAGAGGTTTCTGATTGGCCAGGCCTGGGTGATGTTCTCACATCTGCAGCCAAGAAGTGGGGTTAGCCCCACAGAGCACACAGACCTGTTCCCAGGTGATGGGGTGCAGGAGCTAAGCAGGCAAGAGCAGTGATGCCGAGATGGTCCCCCTCTCCCACCTCCACCTGGGCCTGGCATATCTATGGGTTCTGCTAGCCGTTTGTATTGTTATCATTCCTCCCATGGTCCCTGGTGAGGCGTTGGCACCTACCAACGCAGAGAGATTGCCAGAAGGAGCTCTGACCCTGATAGTGCCGAAGGGCACAGCGTGTTGGGCCCAGGGGCCAGAGCACCTCCTTGGGTCGCCTTCCGAAGACTCCTCAGGAGCCGTGTCCTGAGCCCCCAGCCACCAAATCCACCACATCAGGCAGTCCTGAAAGTTCCCTGGGCTCCAGAGGACCCAGGAGATCCACGGAGGCTCAGCTTGACGAGGGCATGAGAGCTTTGGGGCCGAGGGCTCCAGGCTCCGCTCTGGCAGCTGCTGGGAGGTGGGTTTCGTGAGCCTGGCCCGCTCCTGGGGCTCGGAGCCCCCTCCTGTGCCGCGCTGCAGCAGGGGTGGAGAAGGCCAGCCCAGCCTGCGGACCGCCCCACCTCGAGCCAGGAACACTGAGGCGTGTGTGCCCTCCTGGTCTGGGGGGAGTCACAGGCCCTCCTGCATCTATTTCAAGGTTCTGGGTTTCGTGGCTTTTTTTCTTTTTTTTTTTTTTTTCCAAATCACCCTGCAAAGTAGGTCACCTGCTCCTCTTCCAGCTGCCTTTGAGCTCCTTTGGAACAAGGCAGATACTGTCCTTTGATTCTGAGGGCATCCGCCTTTCTGGCCCCGAGTACCGCTGCAGGGAGGGGGGTTGCGGGGAGGAGACTGCTGAGCCATTCCATGGAGGACACTGGTCCACTTGAAGCCTAGGTCAGGGAGAAGGGAGAAGACGAAGAGAGAGTGAGGAGCAGAGAGGAGGTGAGGGAGAGCGGGCCAAGCGGTCAGAGCCTCTGGGTTGGGCCCTGTCCTGACTGACTTCTCTGAGCTGCTAAGTTTCAGACCAATTTAAAGGGTACCTACTCGGCCTTTAAAATAGGCCCTCAGGCCAGCGTGACGAGGCACTGGTCTCTCCTGGGCAGCAGGTATATGTGCTGGTGGGCCAGGGCCCTTCTGAGTAACGGAGCTTTTCTTCCCAGGGGGTGGCTGGAGACCTATGACATGAATACCTCGGAGCCCAAGACGGAGCCAGAGAGCATGCCCCCTGGGGGCCGGCCCCCCTACCGCAGCAACGCTCCCTGGCAGTGGAGCGGGCCTGCCTCCCACAACTCGCTACCAGCCTCCAAGTGGGCCAACCCCAGCACTCCCGGCCATGCCCAGTCCCTGAGCCGGCCCCCGAAGCAGACCCCCGTGGTCCCCTTCCGGGAGCCCCAGCCCCTGCACAGCAAGAGGTAAGGACTGATGAGGGGCGCCACCCCGTGCCCCTCCAGTCTGCATCCCCGCTTTGCCCTTTTCTCCCTCCTCCCTCTTCTGTCCAGTCTCTTCCTCTCTTCTGTCTTTCTCCTCCCCTCCCCGTCCTTATGTCTGCCTCCCTCCCTTCCTTCCCTTAAATTTTCATTACAAGCCTCTTGTGTGAGGGCCCAGTGCTGGGGAGCTCGGTGTCTGAGGCTGGGTAGCCACCATACCACGTATGATTACAACTGTGTATTTTTTGAAAGCTCAAGGGACTAAGAAGCACAAACTTCTTGGTAGTGACCACTTCCTGGGGGAGGCAGGGAAGCGGGAAGGGGGAAGCCCACAGGTGGGCGTGTAGAGGTGCCGCCATTCTAGTTCTTGGGTTGGGTGGTAGCTTTGGGAGTTTGTTTTATTATGATGGTGTGTATCTTACAGATAAATTATCTCGAAGGTAGTATTTATTTAAAAATAAAGAAAAATTTCTAAGAAATGAAGGAATTCAACTTGCACAGATGCATCTTGCTTCAGCGGCCCCTGTCAGGCCTCTGTCAGGGCCTCAGAAGCTGAGGGGCAGGCACAGCTGTAGTGGGAGAGGGAGGGCAAGGGGTATCCCGGCTCCCAGACACCACCCTTTGCTCTCAGCAGCTCTCCCTGCATCCTGTGGTAGACGAAGCAGATGGGATGTGGTTGGGCCTGAGGGGAAGGTCTGTCTTCCGTCCTCTGAGGGCAGGGGTATCCTCAACTCACCCAGCCTTCCGCCCTCCCTCCTGTTTCTGTTGCAGGCCTGTCAGCTTCCCGGAAACCCCTTACACAGCATCACCAGCAGGGGCCGACAAAGTCCCTCCCTACCGACAGCCTTCTGGGAGCTTCTCCACCCCCGGCTCGGCCACCTACACGAGATACAAGCCATCCCCAGAAAGGTCAGAATCTCTTCACTCTTTCCAAATTAAGGAATCTGATGAGAGCTGGGGATCCTTCTTCCCCAGGAAATGCACAGACCCTACAAGTTTATTTGCCATTTGATGGGGTTTCTGGATCCCTGAAGGTCATCAGAGGACCTCCAGGAAGACTGGCTGTTTGTTGAGATTTAGAGCCAAGCTGCCCTGGGCACGACTCACCGCGGGCTTTCCTCAAGGCAGGATTTCTGCTGGCGTGTTGTTGACACCTGAATCACTTGCTTAAGCAAGACCATTTGCCTTCTAGAAGGCGTGGCCACTCAGCGACCCCTCCAGCTCCACCTCCCCAGGACCAGGCCACCAGCATCACCCAGTTTTCCTGGCCTTTCAGGCTTCAGTCCTGTCCCCTTGAGCCCTTCTCCAATCTGGCAGCCTAAGGGATCCTCCCAACTCCTCCATGGCTCCCTGGTGCCCTGTGTCCTTGGTCCTCCAGGATCCCTGACTCAGTCAGGGGCAGCCCCTCCCCTGTCCTCAGGCCAGAGCTGTGGGCTTCCTCCTGGATGTCTCCCTTCCTCCTCCCGCCTACTGCAGACCATCCATTTGGCCTCCTGAGCAGCTCTGCCCCCCACCCCCTCCTCCCCAGTGCCCCACCCCGGCCACCTCCCTGAGCCCCAAGCCTCCATCCCATCTCCTGTCGTCCACTCTCCACTCAGCAGCCAGGGGGATCTTTCTATATGTGGCCATGTCTGTCCCCTGCTTTAGACCCTCTCACCTGTCCCCCAGCCCTCAGGACACAGCCTCAGCACCTCGGTGTGGCCACTAGGCCCCACCCGCCTCTCCAACCTCACTCGGGGCCACACCTCAGCCTCACTGGCCGCTTTCGCTTCCTTGGGTAGGCTTTCTGAATTTCAGAGCCTGCCTCCATGTTCTCCCTCTGCCTACAGATTCTTCACACTCTTCACCCCACACTCCCCCATCCTGCCAACTTGAGCGCTGATGCTTCTCCTCTGGGAAGCTTTCCCTGAACCTCCCCCTGCACTAGATGAGGTGCTGCCACTGTGCCCCTCAGTTCCCTGTGTATTTCCCGACCGTGGCCTTGAGTGCTCTCCATTCTGTCAACCAGGTCAAGAGTGTGTGTGTGAGCTCCTCTTCAAGATCTGGGACCCTCCCAGTGCGTCTTTGTGGGACCATCACGCAGCACAGAGGCTGACCCATGGTAGATCCTCAGTATCTATTTGGTGAAAGGACGGGGTGAGGGAGTGAGTTGGTTTAAATGAGACCCCCTGCTGTCAGGGCAGGGATCCTTCCACTGATCTCCAGCATGTCTTAGGATCACCCCGAACGGGGCCTGAAAGCAAACATTTGCCGGGCCTCCCCCTGAGGCTCCAACTTGGTAGGTCTGGAGTATAGAACACGCGAGGCTGCTGGCCCAGGGAACACACGCTGAGAGCCACTGAACTAAACCATTGTTGGATCTCAGCCTCTGCTGTAAAATCAGGGGAAACAGACTCCTCTTCCATTTCCCGGCCACCACCGTTCAGCCTTCATTCAGCGGAGGGTCTCAGGTACCGTCTGTTGCCGGGCCCACAGAGAACTGTTTGAGTTACTCACTTACCGAGGGTTCCTGTGCTTGGTGCCGCTGGCCAGCGGAGGGAGCGCCCAGGAAACCATGCGCACCCCGACAAGCACGCTGGTAGACTCAGGCCATGGAAGAGGGAGGTCTAGGCTGGCTGCCTGGAGGAGGCAGCGTTTGAACAGGGCTTTGGGAGGTCAGTAGGAGTTTGCTGCAGAGAAGAGGGAGAAAGTCTTTCTAGACAGAGCAAAGGCCACAGACAGGAGTAAGCAGAACGGTGTGGAATGCAGGAGGAATGGAGAGGAGTCTGGCGTGTGCGGGCACCTGGGCGGCAGCAGCAGCTGAGGCTGGAAATGACAGCTTGGTACCAAGTGATTGGCCAAGAACAGATGTGGTGGGAATGATGTTACTGATAAATCCAGGGAGCATTTTTTTTTTTTCAAAGTCTTGGTGTGCCTCCCTTTTATATTATTATTTTAAACTTTTTGAAATAATTATAGGTTCACAGGAAGTCACGAAGAAATGTGCAGGGAGCTCCACGAACCCTTCACCCAGCCTCCCCCATGCAAATAGCAAAGCAAGGCATTGACATTGGTATAGTCCATAGAGCTTATTCAGAATTCACGAGTTGCAATGGACACGTGTGTGTGGTGAGTGTGTGTGGCTCTGTGCAGTTTGGTCACACGTGTGCTGCTGTCTAACCACCACCACAATTTATACACCGTACCAGCACCTCAGAGCTCTGTCCTGCTACACCCTTCCCCTCCCCCATCCTGAATCTCGGGCAACCATTAATCTGTTCTGCATCTCTAACTCTTGCTATTTTATAACTGTTATATAAAAGGAATCACACAGTATACATCCTTTGCAGATTCTTTTTTACCCAGCATAATTTCCTTGAGGTTCATTCAAACCGTTGTGTGTATCAGCAGTCAGTCCCTCATTGCTGAGCTGTGTTCCCTGGTGTGGAACTAGCCTAGTACATATAACCAACCGTTTGCCCATCAAAGGATATTTGGGCGGTTTCTGGGCTTGGGCTATTACAAACATTCATCCTCTGACCCGTGCATGAAAATGAATTTTTCTTGCCCTGGAACAAATGCCCAAGAATAAAATTGCTTGCCAAGATACGGAAACAACCTAAGCATCCATTGACCGATGATGAACGGATGAAGGAGATGTGATATGTATACACGCAGTGGAATATTATCCAGCCATAAAGAAAGGAAGTCCTGCCATTTGTGACAACATGGATGAACCTGGAGGTTATTACGCTAAGTGAAATAAATCAGACAGAATAAGACAAATACTGGGTGGTGTCATTTACACAGAGAATCAAAACAAAAAGTTGAACTCCTAGAAAAGACAGAGTAGCGTGGTGGTTGGCTGGGGTCTGGGAAATGGCGAGATTTGGGCCAGAGGGTACAAAGTTGCCAGTACAAGATGAGTAAGTTCAGAGGATCTAATGTACGTGTAGGCGTGGTGTCTTGTGTTAATAATTCTGTGCCGTGCATTTGAAATCTTCGGCATTGTCCCCCAAAACAGGGTGACTCTGTGCCATGAGAGAGAATGCTTGTTAACTTGATTGTGGTTATCACTTCGCTCTGTGCGCGTACGTATATCAAATCATCGCCTCGTACCCTTGAAACATATCACAGTTTCATTTGTCAGCTATGCCCCAGTGAGGCCGGGGGCGTGGCAGGAGCGTTGCCTCCGAGAGCTACTTGCTCAGCACACAGAGGACAGCGTTACTTGAGTGAATGGGTGTGCTGACTATTCTGCAATGCACAGAGAAAAGCGCTTAGGGGGGAAGAAAAAAGTACAACTGCTTACCATGTGGTAAGTCCATTTTTAGTTTTAAAAGGAACTGCCAAACTGTTTTCCAGAGTGCCTGTACCATTTTACACCTCCCCCCCCCGCAAACCCCCGGAAGTGTATGAGTGATCTGGCTTCTCCGCATCCTCACCAGCGTTGGGTGTCCTCCCTGGTTTTCACTGTAGCTATTCTGATAGGCGTGTAAGGAGATCTCGTTGTGGTTTTAATTTGCATTTCTCTAATGGCTGATGGTGTTGCGTATCTTTCCCTGTGCTTATTTGCCAACTGTATATCTCTTCAGGGAAGTGTCCGTGCATGTCTTTCGCCCATTTTCTAATTGGATTCAACATTTTTCAGCTTTGGAGAGTTCTTTGTATATACTAGACACGAGTCCTTTGTCAGCCGTGTGATTTGCAAATATTTTCTCCCAGTCTTTAATTTGTCCTTTTGTCTTTTTTTTTTTTGTCCTTTTTTCTCCTTAACGGTCTGTAGCAGAACAAAAGGTCTCAGTTTTGATGAGGTCCAAGTTACATTGTTTCCCCTCTTATGGTTCACGTTTTTGGTGTGAAGTCTTAAGAACTCTTTGCCTAGACCTGGGTCCTAGAGATTTTCTCGTTTTTTTTCCTAGAAGTTTTATTTATTTATTTTTTTAAATAGGCTTCCACGCCCAACGTGGGGCTTGAACTCACAACCCTGAGATCAAGAGTCGGATGCTCCATGGACTGGGCCAGCCAGGTGCCCCTAGATGTTTTATTGTTTTATATTTCACATTGAAGTCTGTGATTCATTCTGAGTTCATTTTTGCATAAGGTGAGAGGCTTAGGTTGATGTTACTTTTTTGGCCTACTGACAGTGTCCAGTTTGCTCCAGCACCATTTCTGGAAAAGGCTCTCCCTCTTCTATTGCATCACTCTTACTCCTTAAAGCGAACGATCTTTGGAAGGGGAACTCAAGTGGGCACATTTGTGTGGGTCTGTTTCTGGCTCCCCTGGTCTATTCTTTTGAGCTGTATACATGATCTCAGTGCATGCTCCCAGGGACTCCACAGGTGGGTACTTAATTATCCCATTTTACAGAGAGGAAATTGGCTCAGTGGATCCCCTTGGTCAGGGTCACTCTTCCAGGAAGTGGCAGAGTTGGGACAGGAACCCAGGCCCATGTGATTCTGGAGAGAGGACATTGACCCGAGCAAAACCTGTCCTGCCAAAGGACTCTGAGCTTATCCTCCAAATCAGGGTAAAATACACGGTCCCTTCTGGAGTCCCCGCCCCATAGTGACACTTCATCTCGTCAAGATCTGGGTCCCAAGTTTGGCAAAAGGATGCTAGCATAGTGCATCCCCTAAAACTTCAAAAGCGTCTTTCACAGCTGGTCATCAGCCTGTGGTACGAGGCCCGGCAGCTGGCCAGGACTGCCCCAGTGGCCTTTAGCCTCAGCTCCTTTCCCTTTTCCCCTCCGCATGGCCTCCCTGTGACATCCTAGAACCCGTGTGAGCCCGGCCGGACATTCCTGCCCAACCCCGGACATCCCCCCCTCAGGACTTCTCTGTCTCCTGCTGTCTCCAGTGGGCCTGCTACTTGCCAAATTCATCAAGCTTTTAGGATTGTGGGGACCCGTATGCTCAGAATTTGTCCCAGGCCCATCTTAGATTCACTGGGAGACGAGGTGGTATGATGGCCTGCCCTTTATCAGCCCCGTGAGTGTGGGCCAGTGGCTTCACCTCTCTGCACCTCGAGTTTGCTCCCATGTAAAATGTCTATCCCTCAGCAGCACTGAGAATCCTTATGGAGGAAAACCCTCTAGAGCATTCAGAACGTGCCTGGCACACAGTAAGTGCTCCTTAACCTTGATGACCATTACTGCCCCATGCAGCACCTGTCCTGGAGCCTGGGGGACAGAGTCTGGTGGATGCTGTGCCTGTCCTCAGGAGTTGACCACCCTTGTTCGCAAAGTGAGCAGACCACCAAACTTCATATGGAGCGTTAGGACAGAGTAGTGTGCCCGGCTCAGCAAGCCTGCAGGGCTGGACTGGACCCTAGATATTTGCTCACCAGACCCCCTGGCTGGCTTTTTTTTCTTTTTCTTTTTCTTTTTTTCCCGTTTTTCTCTGCCAGCTCCATAAAGAGTGGTATGTTGGTGAGGAGGCATTTGACCGCAGGTGACAGAAAACCTAACTCGAGAAGGCATGAGGCACTAAGGACATATATCATCACATAGTAGGTCCACAGGTGGGGTGGCTTCTTCAGGGAAATCCTCAGGGACCTGGCTCCACTTGTGACCCATGATGGCTCTTGGGGCCCCAGGCAGAATCAGTGCCCTGCAGAAAAGGAGGGAAGAGCTTCTCTACATTTTTACGAGTAAAGGAGCCGAGTCATTTTGCTTCTCTACATTTTTAAGAGTAAAGGAGCTGAGTCATTTTGCCTACCCCTCAACCAACCCCTGGCAGGTCACAATGGACCCACACGACTGTCTGCAACTGTCAGGATTTACTCAAGTCCCGTGGCTGAGCAATGGCCGCCACTGCAGAACCTGGGCTTCACCAGCAGAGACCAGGAAGGTTGATGGTTGTTGGCGTGGTGGCCAGTCATGGCTACATCGTCCATCCACCCTCTCCCTGGTCATCTGGGAATTCACCCATGCGTTGTGCCATCAGTTCATGTAGGAGACTGGCAGAGCAGGCTGGAGCCCTCCCCTCCGGAGAGGCTCTTGCCCACGTTCACGTTTGTCTTGGTACTTTCCTCTGTGGCCATAGAGGAAAATACTAGGCTCAAAGCCAACATCCCGGCAGCCAGACCCTGCTGACACTCCCTGCAGGCGCTCCCTGCCTGCCTCCCCGGGTCAGTCAGCGTGGCAGCTTCTGCCTGACGATGCCTGAAACTACAGTGAGTTTCTCACCGAAACCCAAACCCCTTATCTCTAACATGATGTCATCTTCCAAGAAAAGATAGAAGACATTAACATTTCTCAGATGAGCTTGACGACAGCGCTGGTCTTCGCTTCTTCTGGGGATTTTTGCCCAGAGCCGTGCATGCTAAGAGACCAGCAGGTCCAGATTTCCAGTCGGCTTGATCAGGCCTTGGCCGTGATCTGCACCCCCAAAGAATGGGCAGCATACACCAGTCAGTTTATTACATCAGGCTAACAAGGTACGTTCGAGAATTATGCGACTGCACAAAATACAGGTCGTCTTCATGGAGGACAGTAGCTGAGCGGTGAAGCCTGCTGAAACACTTCCAGCTACAGTCTGTCAGTTAGGATTAGGTTTAGCTGCGTGAGAGAGAAAACAGTGACTCAGACAAGACAGTTTCTTTCTTTCCCCTATGTTGTCAGAGACCCCGGCTCCCCCTCACCCGTGCCCCGCCGACTGTGGCCTCTTGCCTCCCGGTCTTAAGGTGGCTGCTGGAGCTTCAGCCTTAAGGAGGAGATGAGGCAAAGGCACCTACAGCACACTTCCAGAGATTTCCTGGAAGTCACATGCGACGCTCTTATCTCATTGGCCAGAACTGCAAGACAGCCTGGAAATGCAGTCTGTTAACCAGTTACATTGCGGCCCCGGATACGGCCGGGGTTCCGTTACCGAGGCAGAAGCAGGGAGTAGAGACTGCAGGAGCCTCCACTCAGACCTTTCTCTTTTCCTCTGGCTGACCCCAGCGGCCACTGACGTTGTCCTTCAGCACTCGGGATTTGATACAGACATCTTGAGAAAATGGAATAAACACGTCAACACTTCAGTTTCCCGCCGTGGTGGAGCCGCATTATACCAGGCAGTTGGCTGACCGATAAGTCAGTATTGCAGATTGTTTGCTTTTTCTTGTTTTGGCCCTGTCTTCCTTCCCTGGAGGAATTAGAGGTCAGGGTTTGGGCAGGTGGGGAGAATATGTGTTCTCTTGGCAGGTGGGTAGAAACAGAGTTTCTCCTCCGGAGCAACCCCTCTGCTGCCCGGGAGGTGGTGAAGCCTAGGGGTTCGGAGTTAGTCTTTGCAGAAATAGCTGTGGCTTTAGGCTGGCAGGACGACCCTGGAGTTGCAAGTATAGACAAAAGGAACCAAATGGGGAAATCACAAAATCAGCTCTATTAATGGGGACTCAATTAAGTCTTCCCAAGTACGGGGTCTGTGTCAGTGGGGCGCTTCTGGCTGCAAGTAACTGAAATTCGGCTGGCTCAAACACTGTAGGAATGTGTTCTCCCACAGAAAAGGAGTCTCAGAAGTAGGTCAGGCTCGGGGCACCTGGGTGGCTCAGTCGGTTAAGCGTCTGCCTTCGGCTCAGGTCATGATCCTGGGGTCCTGGGATCGAGTCCTGCATCAGGCTCCCTGCTCTGCAGGAAGCCTGCTTCTCCCTCTCCCACTCCCCCTGCTTGTGTTCCCTCTCTCGCTGTGTCTCCCTCTCCCTGTCAAATAAATAAATAAGATCTTTTAAAAAAAAAAAAAGGTCAGGCTCCGGGCAGGGTGAATCCAGCATTTCGGCCACAGTATCAAGGCCCCCGTCCCTCCCACCTCTTGTCTTCTGCCCTCAGCGTCAGTCTCATCCTCAGGCTGGTAGCAGGAGGGCGACAACAACTCGTGGTGTTCTGTCTGGACCCAGCAATACCTAGGTGAAGGAGAGCAGCCATCCTTCCTCGTCATGTCTCTGAGGAACCGGGAGACTTTTCCCGGAAGCCCTCCTTAGCACAATTCCCCCGTGTCGGTCACAAACACCCAAAAATGTCAGTGACTTAAATCAGCCAAGGTGTATCTCGCACCCACCCACACAACTCCACTGCTGGTTGGCAGGGGACCCCTTGGGACCCCGGCTGCCAGGGTCACTTCCCTCACAGCTCATTGACAAGACCAGGCCCAGACCCTAGTCCTGCTGTGTGCTTGCCAAGGGGAGGGCCAGACGTGTTTTCTGAGAGTCTTTATAACTCTCACATCCTTTCACGTCACATTAGCCAGAATTGTGTCCTTTGTCTGTTCTGAACCAACCCAGGCGGGGAGAAGGGTTTCAGTCATGACTGGGTCTGATCTGAGGCGGAATGGACATTGGAGGCACCCTAAGGATTCACTCCAGGGTGTAGAACCAGTGCCCCTGGGACGTGAGGCCACAGGAAAAGCCTTCTGCCGTTTCCTTCCCTAGATCTCAGCCCTCCCTGCGAGTGTACAGAGCCAGCCTCCAGGAGAATCTCTGTCTAGGAGATAACTTTGGTATTTCATCCACCCTGCAACCCTGTGAAGTAGAAAATGTCATTATCCCATTTTTCAGATGGGGAAACTGCAGCTCAGACTAACGAGCACTCGCCTGACCAAGGTCGCAAAGCTAGTAAGAGATGGCACGGGGCTTTGAGGCCCGCTCTTCCTCATTCTGGAGCCCGAGCATATAGCTTCTCTCCCGCAGCTCCTTCCTCCCACAGGGGGACAGGCACAGAGTTCTGGCCTGTTGGCACGTTGTCACAGCTGTGTGTGCGTCAGCCTCAGGCCACGCGTGGGGGACACAGGACATCAGTCGGTCTTTTGAGGAAAGGCCTACTGCGATCGCCTCTTGACAGTTGAGGGAAACTGCAGCTCAGGGCGAGGAAGGGACTGTCCCTGGCTGAGAAAGAGGCCAGGCCCCCTGTACCTACAGATGCTTTAGCCCTGAGACAGGCCTGGAAAGTGGGGCTGCTAACAATAGCTCACCCCATTTCACAGCCAAGAAACAAGACCCCTGAGGAACCTATGGGTAGGGCCTACGCCCTAGTGGCTTCTGCCCCGCCTTCCCTGGAGGACCCTGCATGGCCCTGCACTCCCTGGCGTGCTTCCCAGGCAAGACTCATTCCTGACCCTCTGCTAATAGCACGTTTCCAAGATTACTCATCTAGCCTCCCCTCCTCGCGAAGCCTCCAGTGTATTTAAAACCCACCAGTGAGCAAGTCTCCGACTCAGGTGGTTTTTGTCACACCAGCCCCTCACCCTGTGCTTGCCTCCCACTCCCCTGCAGGTATGCAGCCGCCCCACACCCACTGCTGTCTTTTGATCCCCACTTCAGCCACGATGGGATGTCCAGCGACTCCTCCTCGGGCGGCCTGACCAGCCAGGAGAGCACCATGGAGCGTCAGAAGCCAGGTAGGGCCTCCCCAAGGCCAGCTGTGCCCCCCCGCCCGCCTTGCCCCACAGGAGCTCTTCTAATCTGTCAGGTGACACATCTCCTCCTGTCGGCGGTGGGTAGAACCCAAAAGGAAGCTGTTGGAGCCCCACACGAGATGAGGGAGGTCACCCAAGAGAGCAGCAGGGACCAGTGAGCCTGATCCTCTTCCATCCAGACAGGGCATCAGCAGATGGCACTCCCTCGAGAGCCAGCGTCCAGATGTGTGATGTGGGGGTGGCGACCTCCCGCGGAAACAGCTCAAAATGGACCAAAAGCTGTGCCGTCAGGGGAGCAGAACCGACTGTGTTCTGAGGCTTTTCCTTACATAACCCCTCCTGTGCTCTCTTCCCACTGCTGTGGATGTACGGCCGATGCCGAGGGCAAAGCCCAGATCCTGAGTGTCTGGAGTGACAACCTATCACGGAGTGAATGCCCCACGCCCCACACCCGGGGTGAGAGGCCAAACACGGCCAGCCTCTTGAAGCCCCCTGGGCTCCTCCCAGTCAGCGCCCCCAGAGGCCCCCCCTGCCCTGCTTCTCACAGCCAGACTTAGTTCTGCCTCGTCCTGCATTTGATGTATACGAAGCAGACCCCTGCGGGCTAGACACATCATGTGTGCGTGTCTGGCTTCTGTTGCTCAGGATCGCCCTCTTGAGCATCGGCCACATGGTCGTACAGAGCAGTGCAGTTTCCGAGGCATATTGCACTGTATGAACGACCCACGATGTATTACTCCGTTCTGGCGTTGATGGATATTTGGGTAGTTTCCAGTTAGGGACGGCTTAGAATAGTGCTGTTGGGAATATTCTCGTACCTTCCTGTGCTGAGCACACGCTCACACTTCGGTAGCGTGTCTGCCTGGGAATGGAATGGCTGGGTCGCGTGTTGAACTTTGTAAGAAGCTACCACACCTTTTCCCTGGGTGACAAACCATGTCACACTCCTGCCAGTGACAGAGGAGCACTCTAGTTGCCCCGTGTCCTCACTCACCTTTTCACTTCGGTCATTCTAGAAGTGAGTGCCTAGTGGCATCGCCTTGCAGTTTTAGTGTGCATTTTTCTGGTGCCTGATGAGACTGAGCATCTTCTCTGTTTATTCTCTGTATGATGATTAATCACGAGCATGTACACTTAGATGAATATTTGACATATAATTTCACACAACAAACTTGTAGCCCTTCCAAAGCCTGAGAACTACTAGATGTTTGGGTGGGTTCAAAAGAAGGAAAACGAAGCATCAGAGAGCATTGACATTTGGAGGAGGGAGACATGTAGCTGTCCTTTTAGATGTTCAAGAATTTCCAGGCAGCTCCGGAGAATGACCACGTCAGCATGTCACCAGCTCCCTCAGGCACAGTGGGGCAGGGAAGAGCTTGCATCTCCCAGGATTAGTGGCCTGGGAGTTCCTTGGCACCCCAACCCCCATGGTTCCCTTAAACCAGGGAAAATGGTTGAACTTTGGGCAAGCAGGTCACCCTCCCGACCTCGCTCTCCCTTCTGCCCCTGGGGCCTGCAGACACGGCTTGCTTCCCTCCTCGGCACAGCCCTGCCTGCCCCTGCCCGCCCCCTGCGCTCTCTGCTGCAACACACACAGATCTGCATCTCTTTCTCCCCGCCCCGTTCAGAAAAAGAAAAGCGTTGTTTGGAGATCTCATGACACCAAAGTGTAAAACGGGGAGGACATTTTTCCAGTGTTCACCCAAATAGGGTGTCGCGGAAACTCCCCGTTGTCCTTCCCTTCTCTCTCCTTTCCTCAACCTTGGTTCCCCCTTACTTCCTTGGGACTCTCTTACAACACCAGCCCCCCCCGCCACAGAAATCAGGGCAATCTGTTTAGAAATCGTCCCGAAGCCTAGAATTTGCTCAAGACACAGAGACAAGGTAGTTCACGGTGGGGAGAATCAGACACCATGACAGACGTGGAGAATCACCCAGATCAGATGATAGTAATCCTGGGACCAGCAGTATGATTCTGCACACGTGTTAGATGCCCGGAGCTGTACTAGATACTCCCCGTGCCCTCTTATTTAATCATCTCAGAAATGTGACAGAGTGGGCACTTTTTATGGCCCCGTTTTAGAAATGAGGAAGATGAGGCCCAGGAAGGTTGTCACTGGTCTGAGGTCCCTGCTGGTGAGAGGCGTGATTGAGGTGGAACCAAGACCTGTTGGCTGCTAGAACCCCTCAGCCCCCAGCGTCCACAGACACCACCCCCAGCCCCTCACCTGCCGGGCGTGAGCATTTCTCAGGCTTCAGAACACCCAGGTTGGGAAGGTGGCCCCTGAGTCACCAGCTGCCCCGAGTCAGCCAAATTCACGTCTGTCGCATGACAAGGGAGATCATTCCAGCAGGCGAGCCAAGAGGTCACCAGGGGCTGGTCCAGAGAACCAGTGAAGGGCTCAGTATCAGGGCCTGCGAAGGGCAGAGCCGAGGACCCTGGGGCAGCCCAGGAGGAAAGGAATCTGGCCCTTCATCCCTCCATTCATTTGACATGTCGCTAATGATACACACCAGGACACACAGTGGGAGCCAGATAGGCACGTTCTCTGCCTTCTTGAAGCCGACAGGCTGGTGGAGGGATGGACAACAGACCAGCACACAGTGATAAATGAGCACCATGAAGGCTGAGTAACAAGTGGAAACTATAACACAGTGCTGAGAGAGATGAACAGGTTTCGGGGGAATCTCTGAGCAAATCACATTTCAGGCGAGGCTGGAAAAATGCGAAGGAGTCCGCTGGGAGGAGAACATTCCGGGGAAAGAGAATAGTCAAGTATACTGAGGTAGCAGCTGTGTGTAGGAGGAGCGGTAAGGAGGCCGCTGGAGAGGTGGCGGAGGCTGAAGTCAGGGAGGTGACGGGGCCAGAGCCTGTGGGGGCACTTTGTCCTTTGCTCAAAGTGGGACAGGAGCTCGGTCCTTCTGAGCAGAGGAGGGATGGGACCTGACTCAGGTGTTTACAGGGGCCTTCTGGCTACAGATTCTTGTAGGGCAGGGATGCAGGTGAGGGAGATGGGCAGGTTCTAAATACGGTCGTTGGAAGGTAGAGTTGACAGAATTTCCTGATCCTCTATGTGGATATGGGAGACAGGAGGCAAGGGTGATACTGTGGAGCCACGTGGATTGAGTAGGAAAGACAGTGAGCGATGCAGATTTGGGGGAAGATAAGGAGTTGGCTTTGGCCTTGTTCAGCAGGGCGCGTTGGGAGGCAGCCACATATACGAGTCTGAAGTCAGGAGAGGTCTGGCCAGAGATGGAAAGATGGGAGTCACCAATGTTATAGGTGGTAGTTGAGGCTGGATGCGGCTGCTACGGGCTTGGCTGTCTGTAGAAATGTGGTCTCCAGCATGATCTGGCCACCTCCCAGGAAACCAGTACCTGCCGGGCCCGTGGGAGGCTCTACGGAGGAAAACCGTCTCCGGGGGTGGAATAGGTAGACGAAGTGGGCAGCCTCCCCGCCACCACGTGGACAGGACACCCTTGACTGTGCCAACCAGGCTTGTCTCTGCAGTGGTCCTGAGGGCCCCGCCCAGTGCACCCAAAGCAGGAACCTTCCCTGGCAGGAACAGGGACCCACAGTGCACTGGGGCTGCCCTGGAGGCAGCAGCCTGTGGTCTTGAGCTCAGGCTCCAACAGGCCCTGTGGGAAGTTCAGTCAGCCACATGACCTCGGTGGTGACCTCATTTGTCCCAGCTTCAGGTCCCTCCTCTGCGGTGGACATACTAACTGTCTCTCCTTCCTGCGTTGTATGAAGGTCCGGTGAGATCACCCCTGCCCAGCCCTCTCAGCACAGGACCCAGCCCATCATTAAGAGAATGATGATTCCTGTTTTGCAAGCACATACTCTCCACTGTTGCTAGTGTTGTCCCTGTTGGGGAAACACAGAGAGAGGGTGCAGAGGTGGACAGCACAAGTCTGAGGCCCTTTCTGTGTGACGTTGGACCAGGTACTTAACCTCTCTGAGTCTTGACATTCTTCATCTTTTGGAAGTGGTGTAATATCCACCTCGCAGTATCATTGGGAGGACTTGGCAAGGTAATGTGTGCAAAGCAGTTCTGATATTACCTAACACAGGTCATGTGCTTAATAGTCACCTTTATTATCATTAATTTCCATACAGCAAGTGATCAAAAGTGTGGGCCCTGGGGTTATACCACCAGGGTTCCAGTCCTCTGTCCTCTGTCAGTGCATTTGTGTTTGGTAGATATTAACTAGTCCTCCACTGGAGCTGTACATTTTTTTTTTTAAGGTCAGTTGCTGAGTTGAAGCACATTGACTACCTGGAAATGTAGACGCATTTACAGCCACACCAGCTGTCCCAATTTTAAACCTCTCCTACCTGGTTTCAACAGCAACTCCACTTGTGGAGTTCTGTCCCAACACAATCCCATGCTTGCTCAAGGCTGCACGTAGAGGGAAAGCCACGCAAACATTGTCGTAAGGAAGAATTAAAAGTAACCTAAATGTCCATCAGTAGGAAGCTGGTTTAAAAAGTGACATCCACTCACATGATGGAATGCTATACAGCTGTTCAAAACAAGGTAACTTTATGTTCAGTTATGTGACGATGTACTATGATGGTATAAAGTAAAAAGTGTGAGTATAACGTAAAGTGAAAAGTCACATTGTAGGAAAAGGCTTAGTGTGATTCCATTTTGGTTTAATAAAATAAGTTAGCACATTTAGCCAGCAAAGGATTGCTACCTTGTGTACATAAAGAACGCTACTCGCTGATAAGATAAAAGACATCAGTCCCATGGAAAAACAGGAAAAGGAAATGAACAGGTAATTTACAAAATAGAAAATTCAAATGGCCAATAAGGATGAAAATGTGCTCAACCTTCTCTGGGGGTGACGATGGAGGGGTCCTAAGGCTTCAACGAATTAACCCATGTAAAGCACTAGGATAATGTCTGGCACATACTAAGTGCCTAGTAAATATTACTGAGTGGTGTTCTACCCCAAGACATAAGTTGATGGGGTCATGGTCCTGTGTGAGCTGAGCAGAGGGGTGGGACCATTTTTAGGGCCAGATTCCTCAGGTGGACTCGGACCAAGCCTGAGTCACCTCTAACCACTGATGTGTCTCCTGTCTTCCTGCAGAGCCTTTGTGGCATGTGCCCGCTCAGGCCCGGCTCTCAGCCATGGCTGGAAGCGGCGGGAGCAAGCACGCCTCCAGGCAGGACGCGGCAGGCACAGATTCCCCCAACAGGCATTCCAAAGTGAGTCTGGGCCCCGCCTGCCTAATCCTGGGGAGCCAGGGCCTCAGGAGCCGGCTGCCTCGCCTCCCTGACAGCTGTGGGCTGGCCAGTTCCACCAGGGTGTGGGCCTCTGAAAGCCACACGTGAGCACGTCCTCCACCTTCGCCTCCTCCGCTCTAGCAGAGGGGCTATAACTGCTTGGGCTGGAACCAGCCAGTGAGCCTCTTTCCACATGGTGATTCTGGAACCCAGGCTCACTGTCCCTTAGGGCCTCAGAGCCCTCTGCTGGGTCCCCGCCTCTTTCCGGCTGATTGGGGTGGAAGCAAGAGAGAATGGGCTGGGAAGCCTCTATGGCCCAGGCCTGGAAATGGCATAAATCATTTCCACTTCTATCACATTGGCCATTGCGTATGAAAACTCCCATCATGTGGCCACACCGCAGTGCAGGGGAGGCTGGGAAACGTAGTCTGGTGTGCCCAGGAAAAGGGGGTGATTTTGGTGAGCACTCGGCAGTCTCTCTGCATCCCTTCATTCAGCAGGAGTTTGATGGGCACTTACCACGTGCCGGGCCCTGGGACCACAGTGGTGGAGGGGACAGATGAGCCCCTGTGCTCACAAAGCTGACATCCCAATGGGGGCACCAAGCAGGAAGCAGATGAACACACACGTTCTGTAACACCAGGAACTGGTCTTTGCTGTGAAAGAAAACCAAAGTCCAGTTCAGGGAAGAGAGAGCATCAGGCACTGCTGCTTTAGGGTGAGGTGGTCAGTGGGGGCCTCTGGGGAGGGGACTGAAGCCCTGAGTGAAGTAGGGGGCAGTCCATGAACACACCTGAGGGAAGAGCCTTCCAGGAGGAAGGAGCAGCAAGTGCCAAAGCCCTGAGGTGGGGGTAGGCCTGACCCACACAGAGGACAGCAAGGAGGCCTGTTTGGCTGCAGCAGAATGATCAGGCGGGAGCGGGCAGATGAAGTTAGAGGCCAGAACATGGGGCCAGACTGCGCAGAGCCTCAGGGAGGACTCTGGCTTTTCCTGTGAGTGAGATGAACCACGGGAAGGTTCTAAGCAGGGAAGGGACGTGAAATGGTGCGTGAAATGTTCACAGCCTCCCTCTGGCTGCATATAGGGAACAAACTGGGAGCCGGAGGACCAGGGGGGAGGTTGTTGCCGTGGTGCAGTGGGAGGTGGTTGGTGGTGGACAGGCCCAGGCTGGAGCCGTGGAGGACCAGAAGTGGCAGGTCCTGGGTCCCCTTTGAAGGTGCAGGCCACTGGATTTGCTGTGGGGCTGGACATCGGTGTGAGAGCAGAAGCAGGGTCCAGGGTGACTCCAGGACACTCTCGTGGGGCGGCTGACAGGATGGAGGTGCCTTTACTGAGGCGGGGAAGAAGCGGATCCGGGAGGGAAGGCCAGGAGCGCACCTTGCACGTGTAAGGTTGTGTATCCCTCTGAGCAGCCCCATGAGGCAGGGTTATCACCCATCCAGCTTTACAGATGTGGAAACTGAGGCACGGGAAAGCTATGTCACTCACCCAAGGTACCATGGCCAAGAAGTGAGGGAGCCAGAGCTTAGGTGTGGAGAGGACGCCGGGAGGGGCGGTCCATGCCCCGGCTATGGAGTCTAGGATAACACACTTGTCTCGCCTTCCAGGGGGAGCCTCCGTACTCCAGTCACTCCAGCAGCAACACCCTCTCCAGCAACGCATCCAGCAACCACAGCGACGACCGCTGGTTGGACCCCCTGGACCCCCTGGAGCCAGAGCAAGACCCCCTCTCCAAGGGTGGCTCCAGCGACAGTGGCATCGACACCACCCTCTACACCTCCAGCCCCAGCTGCGTGTCCCTGGCCAAGGTGCCTCGGCAGGCCAAGCCGCACAAGCCCCCGGGAAGCATGGGCCTCTGTGGGGGCGGACGGGAGGCCGCCGGGCGGTCCCACCATGCAGACAGACGGCGGGAGGTCTCGCCGGCCCCTGCAATTGCTGGCCAGACCAAGGGCTACCGCCCAAAGTTGTACTCCTCAGGCTCCAGCACCCCGACAGGCCTGGCGGGGGGGAGCCGCGACCCACCCAGGCAGCCTAGGTAAGCCACTGCTCCTTACCCCGGTCCTTCGGGGAGCTCTGACCACCGTCTGCATCCCCCCGCAGTCCCAACAGTGGGGTTCCCCTCCATAGATACAGGCTCGCAGATGGATGTGCTTACACACTAGTTTACTTCCAAAGTCGGGAGGCTCGTGGACCACCCGCTACTGCCCATCGTTCAGCCCTCAGGTACCCTGGGTGGAGGGAAAGAAACCCCTGGCTGTATGCTTCATCTGTCTGTGGTTCGCTCTGACCCTCTGTCTCTCTTTCCTTCTCTCTTTGCTTGAGACTAGTGGTTTTATGCTTTCTGAGGGTAACTGAATGTGTTAGGAGTGCATTTGGCTGGTGGTAACAGGACATCTGACCCACAGTGGCTTAAACAAACAGGTTTCCCAGAGGGCAGAGCCAGGCTAGGACAGCAACTCAGGGAGGGCCTCAAGGCCTGGACCCCGGGTCTTCCTGTGTCACCATTCTTATCATACTGGCTGCAGCTTCCTTGTCTGACATGGCCGTGGTGCCCGTCGGGGGGCATGGAGCTAGAGAACAGAGGAAGATTGCTTCTTGTAGCTCTCTTTCTCTGGAGAAAGCAAAAGCTTTCCCAGAGCCCTTTAAGCAAGTGGTGTCGCGAGGAGGTCTGAAAGATCACAGGTTAGCCTTCCAGCCCCTGGAGGGCCATAGAGCACAGACTACGGGATCCCGCTCAGAGTTTCTGATTCAGTAGGTAAGAGCGGGGCCTGAGAATATGCACTTTGTTAAGTTCCTGGTAGATGGTGGTGCTGCTGGTCCGGGGACCACGCTTTGAGAACCACTGGTGGCCAGGCAGGCAGGGGAGTAAGTGAGAAGGAACTGGCATTGATGAGCCATCAGTCTGGGGCCTGGACCGCGTATGCTTTGAGCATCAGATGAAAGCCACGAACCATCTCCCAGAAGAATGCACGGAGGTGGGAAAATGCTTCTGCCCTCACAGGGCTCACGTGGTTCTGGTATGTGTGTCCCCTCAAGGTCTGCGGTCCCAGGCAGGGATTACGGTGCTGCCGTCCCTGGTGCAGACCCCAGAGGGGCCAGCCCAGGACCCTGATACAGGGGGTCCTCCTCTCCTTTGGTTTCCTGATGCCTTTGCCAGTCCTCAGACCTACGGCCTCTCTCCACACAGGACTCCTGCCCCCAGGCAGTGGCCTCAGGCCTTGACCACAACCTACAGTGGCCTTTGTGTCTCTGCAGAAATAGCTGTTTTTTAAAAGGCGACTCAAAAATGCTCCAAACAGTACTTAGCCTGTATGTGAAGCGCTCTGATGTAGTCTCGTCTGTTGAGACCGTGAATACATCTCAATACCTCCTTAAATGATCTCATGACTTAGCAGTGGTTCTCTGACAGATTTGGAAACCACCGTGTTTGAGAGTGCCTGCCCCCACCCTGGTCCCCAACCTCCCTGAGTCAGGGGTCCCTAAAGGGTGAAGACGGAGGGGGTGCGAATCCCAGTGAGCTTACTTAGCTCCTGGCTCAGCCCACCTCCCCACACAGGTAGGTCTCAATCGTCTAAACTCTCAGACTTTTGATTAGCTCCTTCGTCCATTCATTTACCCATTTGTTTCACTCACAGATATTTCTTAGGGATCTGTTAGGTCACAGACGCTGGGGTGGGAACTGGGGAGAGATACTGAGCAAATGCAGACGAGTCCCCCAGCCCCTCTCCTCGCCCGTATCCGTTGAGGGAGACAGACGACAGGCCATCACTGAGACAAATGTCAAAGTGCGCCCACCCAGAAGGACTCTGCACCAGGAGAGTCCTGGGTGCCACGGGGGTCCCAGGTTTCAGCTCTCCTAGTCCCTGTGCTGGGCATGGGACCGTGTAAGTGAATCTGAGCAACTGTAGGGTTTTGAAATCTGTGATATAAAGGCAGCAGCGCTGGGGAGTAGACTGTGGCTGAAGCCAGGGGGTGGGTATAAAATTACCCTGTGTCTGAGAGAAGGATTTGCTGAACCCAGAAATGAAGGGAATAAAATGGGAGAGGAGCCCACTACAAAAGAGGGGCCTGTGGTTGGGAGCATTGATTTGCATACAGACAATTGATGCTAATTGCAAATCATTCTTATCTACTCATTAAGCTGCTTCCCGAAGTTTTCTCCTAGGCAACCAGGCTCTAGTATGGAACAGCATTTCCCAAAATGGGGTGCTCGAGGTGATTTGGGTGGTACCGGAGGAAAATGTGTTTTTTTAAATGGACATATGTTTGCTTTAATGAGTGTTAGGAAAGTGTTCCCCACCCATTCCCTGCTTTTACAGATAGGGTCTTGGACAAGCTAAAGAAAATTAAATGAGTTGATTTAAAGAAACATCTGCCTGGTAGATGAGAGGATGGACCTCCACCAGGGTTCAAGCCCTCCCTCTGCCTTGCCTTGGCTGTGTGGCCTTGGGCAAATGACTGAACTTCTCTGGGCCTCAGTTTCCTCGTCTATAAAATGGGGGATGCATTGCATGCCTCTACCTCCTGAGGATAATGTGAAGACTGAATGAGCTGTTTGTTAGGGCCCTTAGGACAGTAGTGGGCAGTAGACCCTGAGCTTGCTGTCATTGAAATCACAGGGGATTGTTCTAAAACGAACTAAATCAGAATGTTTCTCTGGGGCCATGCCTATCACAGGCAGTGCTGGGGACACCACAGTGACTTGAGACAGCCCCAGGCCTGCCCTCTCATGGCTCAAAGTCCAACAGGGGAAACAAACCCTTCCCCAGACAGTGGTAGCCTGTAGTGGGCAGTGCCCGGGTGAGGGAAGCACCTGGGATGTGGGAGCCTGAAGGAGGGGCCAGACCCCATTGTGGAAGGGGCTTTCCTAGAACAGGAGGGTAGAGTGTCCCAGACAAAGAAGATGTGCCAGTCCCACTGTGGGCCCCACTCTGCTGGCCCTCCCATGGCCTTACCATCTCTGCAGGGCAACCAAGTTCCCAGACGGTCGCTCGGCACCTGCGCCCCGAGAGGCCCACGCACGCCTCCACTGTCAAGGCCCTAGGCCGCCCACCAGCCTTGTGCACCCGCTGCCGTCAGTCTGCTTGTTTGAGCTGAGCTGCAGTGACAGCCTGCTGCCCAGCCTCGGCTCCTCAAGGGCAGGCATGCACACTCCATAGCTGCCCTTGGCTCTACTTCCCCAGTACTTTGTAACGGAGCCCCCTGTGTTTGTTCGCACAGCGAGTGCCCCGTGTGTGCCCAGCCCCCTGCTGGGTGCCGCGGGCATGCAGGGCCCCTGCTGTCGTGACTGACCAGGGACTGACCAGACACCACGGAGACAGCAGGGAGAGAACGATAAAAGTAATGACCGGATTGTGCTAGGGGAAGGCCTGGGGAGAGAAGACCCACTGGGGACTGAGGGCTGATGTGGGGCAGGGCTGGAGGGAATGTCTGACCTATAACCTGAGGGGCAAAGGGAGTTTCGGTGAGGAGGGGTCATTTCTGCTGAAGATAAAAACAACAAGGAGGAGGGAGCAGGTGAGTGGTTTCTGAGGGGCCGATGATATATTCTTGACCCAGGATACAGTTATGTGGTGTTTGTTTTGTGACTATTTCTTAAGTTATATGTATATGTTTTGTTTACTTTGCTATATGTGAGCTGTGTGCAATTAAAAAAAGAGAGAGAAAGGGGCACCTGAGTGGCTCAGTTAAGCATCCGACTCTTGATTTCAGCTCAGGTCATGATCTCAGAGTGGTGAGATCTAGCCCTGCATCGGGCTCTGTGCTCAGAGGGGAGTCTGCTTGAGATTCTCTCCCTCTCCCTCTGCCCCTCCCCACTCTAAAATAATAAATAAATCTTTTAAAAAGAGAGAGAGAGAGAGAGAAAGGAAAGATGGGGTGTGGAAAGGGTGTCCCTATGAAAGGGAGCAGCATGTGCAAAGGCCCTGAGGTGGAAAGGAGGGTGGATGCCATCAGGTCACTAAACCACAGGCTCCTTGGCTCAAGGGTAGAAGCTGAGGGGGCAGCTGATGGTAGGTTTTTTGGGAGGAGCCAAACCACGCAAGGCCCTGTCAGCCACATTATAGAATTTGGATTCCATCCTCAGAGCTATGGGCAGCAAACAAAGGTTTCAGCAGCAAGGATAGTAGAGGCAGATTTATGTTTTGAAAGATGATGCTGGAGATGGGACTGGAGGCAGAGCGTCAGGGACGGGGCTGAGATGAGTGAGAAGGAAGGGACCTGGACCAGAGGACGGAGCAGCTGTGACAGTGTCAGCAGGTGGCTTTGCTAGGACATAGGGAGGGAGGCACAGGTCCGGGTCGGTGCCGCTGAGCTGAGAGTCCGGGAGGCTGCTGCAGACAGGGAGTGGTAAGGTTCTTAAGAAGAGGAGGGTGGGGCCGGCCCAGCCCGAGAGGAAGGTTATTCTTACCACTAAAGCACCCACTGTGTGCCGGCGACTTCCAAACATGGTGACGTGGCAGGGAACAGAGGTGTTTCTCTGGTGGAGCTGACATTCTCCCGGAGAGAGAGCAAGACAGACTTGACGACTGAGCAACCCCGTGATCTCACTATGCCGGGGGCTGATACGGTCTGGGGAGAAAAACCCAACAGGACGGAGAGCCGGGAAGGCCTCTCGGAGGAGTTGGTAAGGGACTGACCCGAGCAGAGGAAACAGCAAATGCCAAGACCCTGAAGATGAACTCATTTGCAGTGCTCAAGAAGTGGTCAGGTGGCCAGAGAGGGGGGAGCAGACAGGGCAAAGCGGGGAGAGTGGCAGGAGGTCGGTTTTGCAGGGTGGGCCAGAGCCCAGTTCTGGGAGGCTGGCTGACCCCGGTCAGCCGCTGGGATTTGGCTTGGCTCTGAGGGACGTCGGGAGCCATGGGAGGAGTGCAAATGCATGATCCGACTTAATGTTTGAAAAAGATTACTCTGGGGGGCAAAAAAAAAGATTACTCTGGACAATTTGAAGGATGGAAGGAATTGAGTTCGCCCGCAAAACTCGGGGAACTGCCGGGAGAGGGATGGGCCAGGCCGTGCCCGAACAGGGAGACACCC